AGGCCAACACAGAACCAGACGCCCTAAATGAATTACACTTCGCTGATGACCAAAACCTGGTATACAAAGATGAACGAAATCACCAACACCACACCACCAGATTAAACGAAGAATGTAACAACTACGTCATGAACATCAACATCAACAAAACGGAGACAATAAAAGAACCTAATCACTACATCACATACACAACCCCCTCTGCTCAAGTATCCTGTAAAGTGTGTTTTAACGGTTGGCACGGAGATCAAATGAGGAGAAGGAGTGAGATGTAAACCACCAATACGTGTTGGCTGTAGTGTTGAGAAATGTACTGAGACCCAGAGAGTCGGTGGTGTAATGGTTCGGCACGTCTCCCTCACTCGCAAAAGACGCCAGGGGAGAAAAGGACGATAGATGTTCGATAGGAAAGAAGAAGCAAACCACACCAGAGCACTCGTCAACCACCCACTCCCGAGAAGGAAAATTTAAAAGAAATCGAGTATCTCCGTCTGTCTACTTTCTGGGATGATACATTCCACTTAGCACCTGTTGACCCTTGCAGACAAGACCAAAGCAGACCCCCCCCCCTATGATAGTACTAGTAGCATGATCAATATTATTGTTAAGTCCTTCAATGCTGAGCTCTCCAGCACTGAAGTCTCCATATATACTGAGAAGTTTTGTTATGGCAACATGAAATTAGATCTACCCAGGAAAATCTTAAGTAACCCAATAGTGTTGATTCCGGCGTTAAACCCATACCATTTCACCATTTTCACCTGGAAAAAACTCAATCAAAACTAGTGGAGTTTTCAAGGCTCTCAACTCTTGTGGTTTGGTTCTATCAGAGACAGATGTTAAATCGGAGGTCCTGCTTCTTGAACAACATTATTTTGCCAATTTTAAACTCATATTTTACGTACACCTTTGTCCTGAAATAAGAGTATCAATGATTTAAAGGGTGGGTGGTTGGGCGTGCTCTGGTGTGGTTTGCTCCTTCTTTCCTATCGTCCTTATCTCTCCTTTTTTCTGTTTGTTACTCTCTTG